TATAGTTCTAAATTTCCATTAGGTTCTTCTTTTATTTTTTGGGACTTTCTACCTCCATGCTGAGACCGTTTTTTTTTCATTTATTTAAAGTGTGTACTTTTTACTTTTTAAAGGATTTTTACGAAGGCTGCTTTAAAACCCCTGTCAGATAATTCTAACATTTTTGTCATTTCAGTGTTCCTGTCTGTTGTCTTTTGTCATTCAGGCTAAAATCTTTCTGGTTTGTGCATGAGTGATTTTTGATTGAAATGTGAATATATTGTATAGTTATGAGACTCTGGATCATATTAAAACTTGCTTTAGCACCTGACATTATTACAATCTTTGAGTAGGGTGTGAAAGACACTTCCTTATTACATAGTCAAGTGGAGATGGAATCCAGGATCTTCTGCTTCTGTTGATATCTAGGGGGAGGGGGTCTGTTACTGCTGAATAGGGGCTGGAGTTCATAGGCTAGGCTAGGAAGATGGAGTGGAAGTGAGTGGTAGAGACAAGTCTTTTGGATAGGCTTCCTCAGACAACACCTAATAAGTAAGGGAATTGGAGTCTTGCTACCCTTAGGAAGTAGAGTTCCAATGTTCCCATGTATTATTTTCACATTGTGTTGGGAAAAGATTTTCTTTACCACCTGCTTGGGCTTGAAATGTGGTAGTTGGAACACATTGTCACAAACCAAAGAACATAGACAGCTAGATTTCACACCTAGTATTTGATGGTGGGGGGTGTTTTTGTTATGTGGTATTTGGTTAGATATAGTATTACATGTTTTTTTTTTTTTTTTTTTTTTTGTCATGCTTAGGTTGCCCCTTTCCTAGTCTTTGGTTTTAAAGGGAGGAGGCTTTTCTTAGGCCTTTAAGTCTGCAATCAGTATCTTCACATTGTTGGTTTCTCCAAGATCCAGTATGGATTATCTGGGACAATACAAAACCCAAGGAACTCATCAACTGTATTTTTCCTTAATTCCCAAAGTCTCTAGCAGTCTGCTTATTTTTCAGTTTTAAGTCTTCCTGTGTGTATGTTTTCCTGGTACTGGGGACTGAACCACTGACCTATGTCCCCAGTCCTTTTTGAGACAGGATCTCAAAAATTGCTGAGACTAGCCTTAAACTTGCCTCTAGCTTCCCAAGTCCCTGGGATTACAGGTGCACAACACCACACTTGGACTATTTGTTTTACAAACAACGATCAGGGTTTTTAGCTATACTCATCAGAAAGAATATCTTTTTTAAAACATTGTTTTTTAGTTGTAGATGAACACAATACCTTTTTTAAAAATTTTTATGCGGTGCTGAGGATCAAACACAGTGCCTCACATGTGCTAGGCAAGCACTCTATCACTGAGCAACATTCCCAGCCCCTGTCCATGTCTTGAATTTTATATCTATATATGATGATTACATTTAAAGATAATTAGAAAGAAACAGGATCTATGTTGCCTAGGCTGACTTCAAAGTCTTGAGTTCAACTGATCCTCCAGACTCAGCTTCCAAGAGTGGCTGATTACACATATGTCCCACCATTCTTGGACCCTTTTTGGGATGAGAAATTGGTAGAAATATAATTTAACCATGAGTTGATAATTGTTGAAGATGGGTGATGGATATGGAGATTCATTACCCTATTTTATTTTTGTATTTGTCCGAAATGCYCCTTAAAAAGAAAACAAAGTTCTTGACTACCAGTCTAAGTAATACTATAGAATTTTACAATAATCGTGATTTTCTCTGTAGTGATTGTCTCCATTTCTGCTAAGAGTATAAATTTGATATTTAATATGGGCACAATTACCACAGCTAAAAAGAGACTGACATATGGTTGTCACTCAAGTTGCCATGTTTCCTCATATATAAGATGTCTTAGATAGTAATACACCTTAATTTTTATGTAGCATTAAGAAAAACTACAGTATGCTGATTTTAAGATCAAACATTATTACCCTATGTACATATATAACTACATGATTGTATGATTCTACATCATGTACAACCAGAATGAGAAATTATACTCCATTTATGTATGATGTGTCAAAGTGCATTCTTCTGTCATGCAAAACTAATTAGAATTTAAAAAAAAACTGGAATTTTTTACAAGTGCTTTGATTTCAAAGATGCTATCATGTGAAAAAATGCTCACTGCCATCTGTGAAATTAATGAATACTCTGAAATCACACGAGGTCAAGATTATAGTGAAAATATCTTTAAATGGGTTTAGATAAATGAGAGTCTGGTTTGAGGCTGTTAACAATTCTGGCATGAACATGTTTCTTTCCCCAGATACTAAAATTTTATGTACAACTTTATAGGTGGAATGGCAAATCTACATGTAAAAATGTTCACCAAATCCCTAAGACATACTCTACATGTTTTCACTGAGAGCATGCTCACAAAATTTTACATGAAAAACGGCTTAATTATTTGCAGAAAAAAAGAGGTAGTGACAAGGGGATCCAAATTTCTTTATTCTCTTCCTACAAAATCATGTAAACATCAGTACAGACCTGTCCTTATCCCCAAATCCAGAATCATCATGACACATTAACCTTACATTTAAAATAAAGTCAGGAGCAATAAAGCCAATTACCAGATGAACATATGCAGCTTTGTTGTCTTGTCTGGGAAACCTTCCAACTGAAGGCACAATTGATCTATGTAGTATCTGGTGAGCAGGGACTCAGGACATTTTGCTGGGACAGAGGGCAGTAGTGGGTCAGTGGATCTTAGCTGTTTGTTCTAGCAAGTATCACTTTGGAATGTCCCCCTCTATCCCCCCCAAAATGACAGGATTAATTTTCTGAGCTCATCATGTACCAGCAATGGCCAGACTTGGTCTTCCCGCAAACAAAGAGATGGGAGGTATTCACAGGTTTGAGAGAAGGAAGTGCAGGCCCTCTCAATCTTATCTTGGTAAGCTAGATTGTCTTCTGCATCAGAATTAAAAAAAAAAAATCAAACCAAAACAAAAAACATGAACATACAGCCACACAGACTGAAGAAAGGGAAAGAACACAGGTAAAAAATCTATGCAGCCATATTCCTTCCTGTTGAGGAAGTTTTCCAAAAATGTGACCCAACATTTTGCTCACTATATTCTGGACTCAGACAGCTTAACCACTTTGGTTTCCAGAGCAATATGTACTAGAGAGAAGTATCAATTACTGGGCTGGGTTAGATCTCCTTTTTTAATCTCCCTTTTAAATACTGGTTTGAGTATGCCTGCTCTAAATGCCTTTGCAACCAGAAACAAGAGATAATCCTTTTGGAAACAACTGAATGTACCCAACTAATAACTAGTCACTCATGATGAAAAAACGAACTACACAGGTTAAGAACCCCTAATGTGAAAATAGGAAATCTTAAATGCTCCAAAATCTGAAACTTTCTCAGTGCCAACACAACACTATATGGAAAATGCCACATCTGACTTCATGTGACAAGCCCCAGTCAAAGTGCAAGTGCACTAAAAATGTGATGTAAAATGACTTTCAGGCCATGTGTATATGTGAAACATAAATGAATTTTGCACTTAGACTTGGGTCCCATTCCAAAAAAAAAAAAAATCTCATTTTCTACCCAAATATTTTAAAATCGGAAAAAAATCTAGAATCCCAAACTCTTCTGGTCCCAAGTATTTCAATAAGGGATATTTAACTTGCTAGGTAATAAGGGTGTCAGGGCCCTTTTCTATCAGATCCTTACATAGATAACACAGCAAGTCCCTTTTCCATAATGAACTCCTTCAGGTTGAGCTTGTTCGATAACCCCAAACCTCTGGGCATCTGTTACTCCCTGGAAAAATAGGCTAAAATTTGTAGAACAAGCAGATTGGCTAATATATAGTAGGTACTCCATTATGTTTCCTGGTCAACTGATGTATTTTTGAACACAAAGTATGTGTTCAATTTACTGTGTTTTATTTCCCAGTAGGTGCTACTTATTCCATTTTCTAGCTAAGTTAGGTCAGAAATCAATTTATTTCAACAAGGTTAAAATATTAACTACAGAAATGGCCAGCATTTGAACTCAATTTTCCTGAATTAGAAATCTCATGTCCTTTCCATTACTAGACATTTGTTTTGTTAAGTTGCTATTATAGATCTGAATGAGTTAGTCAGAAATTGAAAAGAAAGCTTTATTAAAAATCTAAGATTTCTACATGAAAAAAGGAGTAACAATATGAAAACAATAAAAAAAGAGAGTAAAAAGATACTGTTAAACACCTCAGAATAGATACAAATGTTAACGAGATGTTTAATTTCTCCTTCTTTTTTGAAGAGGACCTTTAATGACAAAGTAGCTACGTTTGCTCTACGTTTCTTCCTTCCTTAAAAAGTCAGGCATGAGCTCTCATGTTAGCTGCCCTACTGTCAGGGCATACTGGGACGAAGAACTGGTCTTCCAAGAGGTTTCTTGTAAATCTCTTAACAGCAAGAGAGGCAAGGCAGTTAGTAGGTGGCTCCATCACTACCGCTGTACAACTAAGAGCAAAATCTCTGCTTCTGTGTTTTGGAATACTGAGCTGGGTAGTCTTCTAACCTGGATCCATAATTTCTCTACTGCAAGAACCAACAAACACTGTTCATGAAACACTTTAAGCAACTAAGAGGGGAAGAGCATAGGGATGGAAAAATAAGGAAAGGAAATATAACCATAAATGCTTAATTAAAGCACAGATTAGCCTGGGAAAGAGACTTCAGTATCGGCAGAAATAAAGCCAGACTCCTTCAAATTTAGGAGATGATTAAAAATCTTAGTTATTATGATAAACAGCTTCATCAATGTCAAGCGTCTGCCATCAGGTACCAAATCCTATTATCCTATCAATCTTTATACAAACATAAAGAGTTTTAGATACTGAGCCAGGTGTAATGGTAAACACTTGAAATCCCAGCTCTCAGGAGACTGAGGCAGGAAGATCTTGAGTTCAAAACCAGACTGAGACCTGTTTCCAAATGAAGAAGAAGGAGAAGAAGAAGGAGAAGGAGAAGAAGAAAGGACATGAAAGAAAGAGAGAAGAAGAAAAGAGTTACTGGCATAGGCCCTATTTTTTTTTTCTTCCAGTGCTGATAACAGGAGTTTAGGCCATCTACTGATGTTCCTTATAACAGGATTTGATCTCCATCAGCTTTTCCTGACAATTGACTATAAACCAGAACAACACTATAATTTAGGACTATTTTGAAAATCTAAATAAGTGCTTTTGTGATTAAACTCTACTCAACACAAGACTTGACTTTGGCTTTCAGTTTAATCTTCTAAAGACTTCATTATTTATTTTTGTTGCCACTTTTAAAAGAACAAAGTTGTGAATAACAGATTTTAAACAAAGCCCTGATAAAGCTTAAAATTCCCCACAGCAGTTTTATTTGGATTTTATGTGTTCCACATAAACACTTAAAGATCATGTTTATATAGTATATAAAATATAGATGATATGGAAGTTTCTGACAAATGATTTATTAATGAAAAATTATCAACTATATAACCTATGAATACCAGAAAAACTTCAATATGTACAAATCAGCATGAAGTTTCTGGTTCCCAAACTTTGGTTATATGAAATGCCTCAAGCACCACAGAACAAATATTGATCCTAAAAAAAAAAAAAAAAAAACTCAAACAAACAAACAAAACTCTTCAACCCTCTTGAATTTGTTTTCATTACACCATATGAGGAAAACTCTTTTACTCTACATTTTCTTTCATCTTGGTCAGTTTCTAGAAACAGTGTCAATAAAAATTGATTGGGATAAAATGGATAGACAAACCATACAGATAAAAGTGGATGTATTAAAAGAATAACTTCTGAAAATTATTCTGATTTAAATAAAGAACAACATAGGATATGTGCACTATGTAACATATATGAAAAAAAAAACTTCTTAATTTTCAAAAATTCACACAACATAAGCCTGTTAGTATTGGGATGAAAGGTTCACAGGGAGGTTTGTAGCAAATTCTATTACAGAGATTCCTGGATTTTAACTTTTTTCCCAGGCTCACTGGCATCTGCAAGCTGCAGAAGCAATTTGTATAATATACATCCATGAATAAAGAAACCCGATAGCTGAGCACAGTCTTTCATGGAGACTTTTACAAGAAATCTGATGGACAAAAGACAAATCAAAGAATGAAAACTAAAATAGAAGAAAATGGAAAGATAACATATCTAAGCCCATATAAGTCAGGATGGGGAAAGTTTAGATGTACAAACTGACAATTGCATATGTTTAGAAGGGATCACATCCTTGACTACAAATGTAGATTATATACACACTTACATTAACTTAAGTCATTCATATATTACACCTGACAATTCAAACAGGATGTCTCTGAGCAGTGGGAGGAGGTTCTGTTCACTTGGCTCCTCAAGTCCCTGTCTTTTGTACTGGCTGGTTAACAGTCTCTGTACAGGACTCAACAGCATGGTACATGAATGGATAAAGCTTGATGTCTGGTCCAGGGGTAGAACAGTTCCTGCATTCTTCATTGTAGTATCGAAGCAATAGCTTATACACTTCTCCTGGAGGGTAAATGGTCAGAACAATTTGCATGTGAGATATGTGGATGGAAAAAGCTTCAAAAGAACACTAGAGTTTTGTCATAATCTAAAGAGCACATGCTCAGATTTGGTTTTTGAAACTACAGTATGAATTTCTTATGTTTAAAGGGCTTTTCTGGCATAAACTTAAAAATTTTACAAACACTTTAAAGAAAACAACTTAGCTCATGATAACATCAGGCTACATATGGTAAACTGTCCACACCCTGTTGTGGGAGTTCATGCAATCCTAGTTATACATTCAGCTCCTAAGGTAGTAATCACACTGGATGAGCATACTACATATCTGATAAATACCACAGATTGAGACTTCTTATGTTTGAATTTACTTTCAGATGACTTCCACTTTTTTGTTTTCTTTTTTTCCTTTTAATTTTTTTTCTTTTAGTTGTCAATGGACCTTTACTTTATTTATTTATATGCGGTGCTGAGAATCAAACCCAGTGCCTCCTATATGCTAGGCAAGAGCTCTACTACTGAGCTATACTCCAACCCCTCTTTTAGTTTTCTATACCCACAAAAGTAAAAATTGAAAGTAATTCCAGTTTCTTGACTTTAATAAGCTGACATACTCATTCAAAATTGTGGATGAAACTCTGCCAGAAAAATAGACTACAAATGAAGTCCCTCTAAGAGCTTTGTTCTATCCCCTTGAAGTGATGCACTTGTTTCTTCTTATCCACTATGATCCATCCAGATTTAGCAAGTGTTCCTCCTAGATGGTGTATAATCCATCTAGCTACCAAGTATCAAGACTACCTCCTACTTACCAACAGTCAGTTTCCTCTCAGTAAGGAAAGTGTGCATACTGTAAACGTCTCTCATCAATTCTGAGTCCCCAAAGGTAAAATAAACCACATCTCGTTCAGCTGCTGCAGCTGCCAGTATCTGTATTAAAGCTATGGCAAAGAGAAAAGATACAGCTCTATTATGATACTTCTACTATCAAGTTACCTTTAATTCTTTCAACCTGCTAACTTGTAGCTGGTATATCACAGCTTCATCCCAGATCCAAGATTTATAAATAAAATACACATTATTATATATAATGAATACAAAATAAGCATAAATCATCTAGCTGTGTGACTTTCCAGATATGCTGCTGAGAATACCATTGAATCATAGGATTTCAACACAGATACCTTCTTTGGATCACAAATAAAGAGCATCTGAAGCTGCAAATCAAGGCACTGAAGTGGTATTTATATTCACTTCTGTTAATCCAGAACTAATAGTTTTGTTTGCTTGCTTGATTTTATAATTTTGTCTTATTAAACAGTCACTGTTCTTTTGTATCACAGGCATATTTGGGGGGTTCCAATTCTCATCAATGCCACAGCAAGCATTCCCAAACAATATCCCTCTGTGCTTGTATTGCCAATGTTCCTGCAGCATGGAGTCAGGAGTCAGTGTTACTGAAGATTCAGTAACTGTCTAGTATGTTGGAATAGAAAACAACTAAGACCCACTATCTTCAAGAGTCAAAGCTACAAATCAATGAGCCTGAAATATGTCTGCAAAAATCAAGTTTATTTGCAAGCTTAATCTCCATAGGTAGGATTTATTTTGAACCACAACAAAACTGAATATGGTTACAATAATGCCCTTTTGCTCATTGTATATCTTTCACTTCATAAAAAAAGAAGGTGGGAGTCAAATTAAAACATTATGGAGGGGCTGGGATTGTAGTTCAGTAGTGGAGTGCTTATCTACAATTTAAAAATTTTTTAAAAAATTTTTAAATAAAAGTAGATTTTTTTAGTTGATTTGATTTTTTAAACACATAACAGTGGAATGCATTACAATTCTTATTACACATACAGAGCACAATTTTTCATATCTCTGTTTGTATATAAAGTATGTTCACACCAATTCATGTCTTGTCCACCACATTCCACCATCATTGCTAACTCCTTGCCCCTTCTCTTCCCCTCCCACCCCTCTGCCCTATCTAGAGTTCGTCTATTCCTCCAATATATATATATATATGTATGTTTGTGTGTGTGTACATATATATGTACACACACAGAGGATATCTTTTTATTATTTTGATTGAGAGCATTCTAATATTCTATATACTCAACATTAATATACATGAAAATGGGGAGGAACCTACAATTGAAAGCAAATAAAACAAGTTAGCCTACTTTTAGTTCAAGTGACTAAAATAACTACATTGAAGGGAAAGAAAAAAGAAAAAAAATGAAAGAAATTATGAAGATGGTTATGTGATCACTTTTGGTCTTAGCCAAATTCTTAGGAAAGAACTGCAAAAAAATTCTCATCTCTTTTTGCTAGGAATGTTTACCATAATAATTAAATATAAAGCAATTCTGAAACTATTTTTAAGTGTATTAGAGGATGAGCAAAAGAATAAATATGTTGATGCTATTGAGAGCTCAGAGTCTCACTATGAGAGAATGGACACACAGACATAGAATGAAGGAAGACAAAAAATAACTCCAAGAGGATGGATAAAAATGGAAGACAGCCAGGCACAGTGGTACATGCCTGTAATCCCAACAGTTTAAGAGGCTGAGTCAAGAGTATCACAAGTTCAAGGCCAGCTTCAGCCATTTATCGAGAACCTATCTCAAAATAAAAAATGAAAAGGATTAGGAATGTGGCTCAGTAAAGTACCTCTGGGTTCAATTTCCAGTGGGGGCGGGGGAGAAAGAAAGAAAAAGGAAGACAATGGTGTGTGTTCATGATGTCTAAATTAGAGACATATTTGTGAATATGTGTTTATACACATATTTTCTAGCTCTGCTGGGTAGATGGGCAAAAACAGACACTCTAGCAGCACCAAATACACTGAGTACTCAGATTGTGGTCTCTAATTCCATTCTTCCTAAAAGGAATGGACTCCTAGGGAAATGCCTGATTCCATGGTTGGGGCAGGCAGGTACAAGATGAGCCCAGAATGTTAAGTAGCGCTAAAAAAAAAAAATAAATAAAATAATAAATAAATAAATAAATAAAAAGGGAAAAATTGGTGGGAGCTTATCACAAGAAAATGGGAGTTTGAAGGAGTTTCCGTTACCCAAATCTGGATGAGCTAACCACCAAAATACTAGAAGTATAGCAATCAATTAATTACAAACTATTAAAAAATGTGTACCCTTGATTAATACCTATTAGATACATAAAGGAGGGGGTATCACAATAGGAACCAACTTCTCTGTGTAATCAACCATGGTTAATACTGGATGAGGAAAGGATCATTTGTAGATGTGAAGTCAAGGGGAAATTTTGTGTTACAGTATCTTCCCACAGATTGCTTACTAGTTACAAGGTGGGGTGGGAACCTCAGTTAACTATGCACTACAGAAATCAGGCAACATCTTTACTGTGTAATCAAAATAAGAATCAACATTGTGTCTGATATCCTCCAATGCTTCTAGACACTATTACTGATGCAATGGTTCTGATTAAGAATACATTATCTTAACCTCATCATGAGGAAAAACAGTAAACTCAAAGAATGTGTTAGTCTTCAAGAATGTGTTAGTCTTCATGTTGATGTCATAAAAGACAAAGGCTGTTTTGAAATACTATGAATTCAAAAATGAGTCTAAAACATGTGGCAACTAAATTATGTAGCTGACCTTAGACTCTGTGTTGGAGGAGAAAAGACTAGAAAGAGCTTTATTAGGTTATCTGACATAAAAATATAAACAATAGAAAAAAGTACTAATGTATAATATAGATTTAATAACTAAAGTTTAAGAGTTTTTTCCTCCTTTCCCTTAGGAAATATATATTGATGTATTTAGAGGGCATAATGTATGTAACTTAGCTCAAATAGTTCAGGAAAAAGATTGTGTGCATGTGTATAGACATAAACATTACATATTCAGCAACAGGTAAATTATTTTTATTTTTTTATAAATTTGAAAGGTTTTTAGTTTTTTTTTTTTTTTTTGTGGTGCTGGGGATTGAACCTGAAAGGATTTTTAAATAGTTTAAAAAATTATGAAGGAAAAAATGTTTCAAGGCAAACTAAGAAAATTTGGTATAGTCAAGTATTCTCCAGATTTGGGAAAGAATCTATATTATAATAACACATGAGATTGATTTCCAAACTAATATTTATTGAGTATCCACAACTTGGGAGGTGCCAATGACTAGATCTCATTAATTTCAGAATGCTGAAATTGGTTAATTTCAAAAGAGGTAAGTTTTAATTAAAACTGCTCATCCAACCTATGCATACATTAAAGCTTCACTACACCCAATTTTAAAAGTTTCTAATTAACCTAAACGACACATAAAAATGTCATCTTTCTCTACCAAGAGGTATAATCTCTTCCCTTTCAGTAAGAATAAATATTTAGCTTTAAGTGCTTCCTATTTAAAAAAAAAAAAAAAAGACTTGAAGAGAAGTCCTTTTGGTTCTATTTCCTATTAGATCACTGGTCATTTGTCATTTTGGGCCTTAGGCATGCTAGACAAGCACTATACTACTGAGTTATACTCCCAACCCCAAGCATGACATTTTTTTATTTCACATCCATTTCTGTTTGAGTCCATAAGTACATGTTAGACTAATTAGGACTGGGAGACAGAAGATTCAAAGTTAGTCCACATCCTCTGCTAGCTAGCTATCTCTAGCTAGTTGCTTAACCCTCTTGGCCTCATTTTTCTGTTATACAATAAAGCATTTGAATCAGATGATCCAGAGTTTAAGATTCCACAATCACTGAATTTTTCTCTATGTATCATCAGATATTAGATTATAAACACACAAAGGAAATTTCCAGGAAGATAAATTAATCTCAACCCTAGATACATCAGTAGTCACTGGCAAAAGCTCACTTAAATAATAGTACACGGACCTTACTCACTCTCTCTGATATTCCCAAGATCTTTGTAAATCTAGAGAATTATGCTGCATGATTTAAATGAACTATCTTCTACCTAAAGGTAGATGAGAATAAATCACAAATCTAATAACGTATATGGATTGATTCCAAGTCTGACACAAAAGCATGAAATTCTAACTTCAAGCACAACTAGGTGCCAAAATAATCACTTAAATTAACCTGCAGGGAGTTTGGTTTTAATTTTCTTTCTGGCATTCAGTGTTAAGCTATGAAGAAAATATAAATAAATGTGAATAACCTCAAAAAACAATTTATAGTGTCCTACTGCAATAAATGAATCAAACAGAAAATGGTTAAAATGATGGATACTATSACACAGGTGTTGAGACCACCAGCACATAATATTAGTAACCCCTTGCTAACAATGAGAGATCTTACAGCATGTAAACACTGTTGTAGGAGCTTTACAAGCACTGACTTATAACTTATAAGGATTACTTCTTTTAATCCTTACAGAAACTGAATGAAGTAATTATTAATATTATTTTGTTTTTAAAATAATAGGCACCAATAGGCTAAGTAATTTATCTAAGGTCACTTAGGTCAGAATGTAGTGGAGTTGAGAGTTGAACCCCTACAGTATGACTCAAGGGCCTCATGCCCTCACCAGGCTGCCATGACACATCATTCTGCTCAAGGTCAAGCAGATCTTACCACATGCCAGTTACAAGAACTTCCTTGCACTGTTTACTGTTATTTGAATGCATTTTGGCAAACAGTACAGACCTAAAAACACTAACCATGCCCTTCTAGTGAACCCAAGTTCTTTTGAGAGCTCTCACACCAGTAGTTGCCCTGAAAACCCAAACACTGCTCACCAGCCCAAGGCACCTGCTTGTTTCCACAAAACAGCAAGTTTCTAGGCCAACTCCTATTCTTTTTCTGCTCTTGTCCTCTGGCTACTCTTCTTAATCTTGACTTGTCCCATTCCCTCCTCCCATTATGGAGGTTTCTAAAGGCTCAATGTGGCCTTTTGGCTCTCTGAGCAGCACAACAGAGGTAGGTAAGAACAA